CTAACTCATGGTGACTTAAACTTGGAAAAAACCCACAAACTTTTACATTATTTGTTAGCAGTCAAATTCAAAGATGAACAGACACCTTACACAACACCTGTCTGTCACATGTTGGATCTAAAAGCACTATTACCATTTCTGACAACTCATTCCAACTGGTAAAATGGTGCTGGTTGATCAATGATATATTAGAATTTCTGAAATATAATAGAGAATATTTTTTATTGGTTGTTCAAAACATTACAAAGCTCATGACATATCATCTATCATACATTTGATTCAAGTGAGTTATGAACTCCCATTTTTACCCCAAATACAAATTGCAGAATCACATCAGTTACACATTCACAATTTTTACATAATGCCATATTAGTGACTGTTGTATTCTGCTGCCTTTCCTATCCCCTACTATCCCCCCTCCCCTCCCATCTTCCCTCTCTACCTCATCTGCTGTTGTTCAATTCTCTCCCTTGTTCCCCCCCTTTCCCCTCACAACATCTTATATGTAATTTTGTGTTACATTGAGGGTCTCCTACCATTTCCATATGTTTTCCCTTCTCTCTACCTTTCTCTCCCCCCACTCGTCTCTGTTTAATGTTAATCTTTTCCTCATGCTCTTCCTCCCTGTTCTGTTCTTAGTTGCTCTCTTTAAATCAAAGGAGACATTTGGGATTTGTTTTTTAAAGATTGGCTAGCTTCGCTTAGCATAATCTGTTCTAATGCCATCCATTTCCCTGCAAATTCTATGATTTTGTCATTTTTTAGTGCTGTGTAATACTCCATTGTGTATAGATGCCACATTTTTTTTATCCATTCATCTATTGAAGGGCATTTGGGTTGATTCCACAGTCTAGCTATTGTGAATTGTGCTTCTATGAACATCGATGTGGCAGTATCCCTGTAGTATGCTCTTTTAAGGTCTTCAGGGAATAGTCTGAGAAGGGCAATAGCTGGGTCAAATGGTGGTTCCATTCCCAGCTTTCCCAGGAATCTCCATATGGCTTTCCAAATTGGCCTCACCAATTTGCAGTCCCACCAGCAGTGTACAAGTGTACCCTTTTCCCCACATCCTCGCCAGCACTTGTTGTTGTTTGACTTCATAATGGCTGCCAATCTTACTGGAGTGGGATGGTATCTTAGGGTGGTTTTAATTTGCATTTCTCTGACTGCTAGAGATGGTGAGCATTTTTTCATGTACTTGTTGATTGATTGTATGTCCTCCTCCGAGAAGTGTCTGTTCAGGTCCTTGGCCCATTTGTTGATTGGGTTATTCGTTTTCTTATTGTTTAATTTTTTGAGTTCTTTGTATATTCTGGATATTAGGGCTGTTAAATTACCTTCTGTTAAAAGTTACATTAAGTAAATAGCCTCAGAAAAACAATCTTAAAGTGAAGGTTGCTGTGGAGAGCAGTGACAGAGAATGGGAGAGCTGTGTCTGAGACTGGGGTCTCTGATGACCTCATGGCTGTGGCATACCTGTTACCTGGGAATGTTTCTGTGAAAAGGTGCCAGAGTCCCAGTGGCTATACACTGCATGAGGAGACTCTGTCCTAGAGACTTACCAGCCTCAATCTTGATCTCAGACACACAGCTACTGGGAACAGAGGAACTCTCTTGCTAGAAAACCACAATTGTCCACCAGTCTGCTGCACCTGAACCTGTGCACCTAACAGTACCATCAGACAATGGACTTTCTTGAGAACTACACAAAGCTCCTAACATTGCACACTGCAATTGTGGAATGCAACTGTGAATAGTTGCATGATGTTGATAGCCATATAAATATATATGTGTACAAAGAAAGATGCTGATGAGGCATATATAAATAAAGATTGCTGGAAGATTTCTTTAGACCTGCTTCTCCATCAGAGAGCAGCATTCCACCTGACCCCAGCTTTATCTTCAAAAACATTAGTCTGTGTGTGAGTTTTTATTTTTCTTATCCTCCTTTTCCCCTTGCCGAAACCTGCTACTTTGGACAGAATGGTCACGGAATTTTGCCACCATCCTATTACTTGATACACTATTTACCGAACCCTTTATTATGTAAAATCCATTAAAAATTAATAGATCAGGCCATCCCTTCAAGAAATTTTAATCTAATAGAGGATTTGTAAATTAATATGCATATTAATTTTATATGGATATATATAAAAACAGCACTATGAGATATATATACATACACACACACACACACACATATATATATATTATATATATATATATATATATATATATATATATATATAACATTACTATGACAATGAAGCACAGAAGTATTTTTAGGTAACTAGATTTTTTATCTTGTAAAAGAAAAAAAAAAACATTTAAAAAATTTTAAAATGAACAGCATATATCCACAGCCTATATTCCTAACCAGCACCCTAAAATTGCTCTATCTGCAACTAAGTATAGCTTTAGAAAACAGGAAGGAGAGGTTCATTATTATACAAAATACTTGTATGAAGATGTGAATTTGGTGTTAACATACCTTATATACAAACAGAGATATAATAAATGGTGGTATAAAGATGAATTAAGAATTGTATGCAAAAATTAAGAGAAAATAGGAAGGGTTTCAAAGTTGGTAAAAGAATGGACCAGCAGTGTGACAAAAGAACAAAAGGAACAAAAAGATATGAATGGAAAATGTAAATAGTTCAGGTAAAAGAGTATTAAAGTATGCACTTTAATAAGCACTCTAATTGATTTTCATACAGGTATATTGGAGGGCTCACTCCTGACCAACCATGACAGAGCAATCTCCAAGGATGTCTGTATTTTAGGAAACAAGAGAAAGATCAATAACAGGAAAATTATAAAAAGTTCACTGGTGAAGAAAAGGTAAATAAAACTTTTGTGAAAGGCATCAGTCCTCCCTAAGCATTTTTAAATTTAAAATAAATTATTCTTATTTTTAACTCTTGTTAACTCTAACTGATAAAATCGCTTGGTTGGCATGCATCAAGACTCTGGGTTTGATCACAGGAATGGGGAAAAAATAATGTAGGCTATGGCCCCTCTCCCACACAAGACTGCAGGTTAGACTGTCAGAACAATCATGACAACTAACTAGGTAACATAGTATATTAATTCCTCTTAGGGTGAAACAAGCTACAGAACTATTGAGACAATCACTATCAGTGAAAACAGCTGAGAAGATCTTAGAATAACTGGTGCTTTATTCATGGGGTAGAGTTCAAACAAGGAGCGGTGGGTGGTACATCATGAAGGGGAACACTAAGAGACTACAGACCATATGAGGTCTGGGAAGGAACACCAAGGCACTACAGACCATATGAGGACATCTGTGGATATATGCTGTTCATTTTAAATTTAATTTTTTTTTCTTTTACAAGATAAAAAAACTAGTTATCTAAAAATACTTCTATGCTTCATTGTCATAGCACTGTTTTATATATATATATATCATAGTGCTGTTTATATATATATCCATATAAAATTAATATGCATATTAATTTACAAATACTCTATTAGATTACAAATTTCTTGATGGGAAGGCCTGCTCTATTAATTTTTAATGGATTTTGCATAATAAAGGATTCAGTAAATAGTGTAACCCTCACTGTGTTACCTTCTACCACTGTCTAGACAGCATCTACACAGACTGCATGTGGATGGGCAGCCACACAACATACAGCCATCCTTAATACTAGCAGTGAGGTCACAGGGGCAGTGTGCAGGATGACCCCCAGGTTTACAGTCTAGCATCTGACATGTACATAAAGAGCAAAGTTCTGTGTGGCTCTAGCCCCAACTTCTTTTTCTCTTTCACCTTCCCATGGATCAGAGCAGCAGGACTCCTGGCTACTGGAGTGAGGATTTGACCTCAATGCAGGAGCATCCTGCAAGACATCCCACAGGTTCTGGGGTGGGGTAGATGCAGACTGTTTTGGAATATTCTAGCACTCTGTCTTTCTCCATTATGAGTGCAGATCCTTTAGGAAACCACTGTTATCTCCAAAACAAAGTGGTCAAGTGATGTGCACAACAGCTGTCGGTTTCCATGATCCACAGAGAATGTCCCCAGCAGGAACATGTACATTTATGAAGCCTCAGTATAGGAACACAAGACCTGGGTGATATCAAAGGAAACTGATGGTCCTGAGAGGCCAGGGACCCCACAGCTCCCATGCCAAACACAACGCTAGAAGTGGGAAGAATCCCAAAGACAAGACCCATTTCCAGACTTCAAACACAAAACACTGTTCTGGTCCCAAAAAGAACACCAAATGTGACATGGCCTCATGCCTGGACCAGAGTGGGAAGTCCTCCCCTCCTGGTTTCCCAAGGGGGAGGGAACAGGAGCATTGTCCCTGAACTTCACATCCTAGTCCTGAGTACACTAGCACAAAGGACACAGACAATTCCAATGTATTTAAAAAGTAGTAAAAAGTCAGTTGATTATATACATATTAACCCCCTTCTAACCACTTATAAAAGCACTAGTTTGGAAAAAAAATGAAGACCTTCAAGAAAGAAAAAATGATTACCAATTTTTACTCTTTGTCAGCTAGTCTAGTCATTCCAACTTTTCTGGAGGTGCAAGAGGTGGGCAACTCACTGGATGGCAGGAGCCTGGAGTGATGCAGACCCTGAGCTGGCAGGAGGTGGCAGGGAGGATGAGCCAGCTCCTGGCTTTGGGGAAAAGAGATCCAGCAGGGGTGGGCAAATGGTGGGAGCCTACAGTCCCACACATTGGGCATGGGAGGATAATTAGCAATGGGAGTCCACAGACCTGCTGGTTGAAGATATTTTCTACATGGAGGACATACTGGCTGGGAGATGGGTAGCAGACATTCTGAGGTGGAGATGCAAGAGTCCAGATTGCACTCAGTAGCTGAGTGTGGAGTTTTCCCACTTCAGCTGCTGATGCTGGTTGGAGTTCTGACTGTCCCCAGGGCCAACCTCCTTCTCCTTGAAGCTCTCCCAATGGTCAGTAGTGATGTCTTCCTCCTCCTCCTCCTCTCAAAACTCACGCTGTTCTTCCTCTTCCTCCTCCTTACCACTGTGCTGGTCCTGGTAGGTCTGCAAAGAGAGGGATGTGCGAGTCCAGCTCATGGCCAAGTCATCCAGTGTCCACCTCCTAGGAGCAGCAGCAGAAGGGAGATGCTCCCCAGTGAGGGAGACTGCCCAGGATAGGGGCCTAGGCCTCACTGGGAGTGGCCTCTCCACGGACTCCAGGCATGCAGAGAGCTCCTGGATGGGGATGATCAGTTCCCTCCTTGGAGAATTGTCTCTGCATAGATTGGGAGGAGCACCAGCCTGAAGCCAGCTCATCTCTGCACTTACACTTACTAGGTTGTATGAACTTCAGTAAGGCCTCACTGAGCCTCAAATCACCACCCTGGATTTGAAGTTCCTAGCTCACCAAGTTGTGTGGTTATAAGGTGCAGGCACATGGACATGGAGGAGCCTGGCCTACAGTGCTCTGCAGCCTGGGGCCATGTCTGCTCCTACCTCCTTTTGGAGTTCATGGTGATGATCAAGGCAGAGTCATTGCCATCCATCTCATTCTCCTTCCCCGTGTCCTGGTCCCACATGATTCACTGATGTGCAGCCCAGATCTGAAACACCCCCAGGATGATCATAAACACCAGGAAGTAAATGCAAACAACAATCACCATGGTGGCAGGATTCAGGATGACTGTCAAGGGAGAAAAAAGTACAAACAGGGCTGCAGAGAGGTCACCCAGATTGAGGCTTCCCACCTGTCCTTGGCTATCCTAGGTTGGCATACTACATACACCTGAACTACAGAGAGTAGAAAGCACCAGGAACAACTTTGCGTGGCCTGAAACTTGCTGGGTCACTGTGGCTGTGGGCAGGCAATCATTTCCTCACATGTGATGGGGCATGGGAACTGTGCTGCTATGCTCCTAGCCAGGTGGGACAGGGACATCTGCCTAAGACCTGTGGTGTTTCCACTTAGATGCCTCCCGTGACATTCCTGCAAATGGTTGAGGACTGAGCAGCTTGTGGCCTGACAGGTAAACAAAAAAGCATTGCTTAGGGTGAAGAAACTGTGCTTGGGCAGCCATGTGGCTGGCATGTTCCACAGGATTGGCGGCAAGGATCATGTTCACATGCAGTGGACAGGATGAAAGGACCACTAGGGATGAGCTCTTCTCTCCGTGGTCAGTGGCAGAGTGGCGACCCCTGAGCTGGTGGGCTGGCTGCGACCCTGGTGCCGACCCATGGGGCCCTGTGTGGCAGCCAAGACCCTCGTTGGTGGCTGCAGATGTTGGGCAAGGCTGGCACTCCAGCACCACCTCTTCCAGGGCAAGGTAGGTGGCCTTGGAGATGGCACCGCTGGGGGGGTGCGGGCCTGCTCTGGGCCCAGATAGGGCGATCTCAGCTGGGAACAGGCATGGGGCGCCTCCTCATTGTGCTTGGATGGGCACAGAAGGGGTGCTGCCAGGGTGGGCTAGGGTGGGCACTGGTCAGGGTGCTGCCTGGGTGGCCTACGGTGGGCACAGGTTGGAGTTCTGCTGGCCTGGCCTAGGGTGGTCGCAGGTCCAGGTGCTGCCGGGGTGGCCTATGGTGGGTGCAGGCTCAGATACTCTGCGGAGCAGGGAGGGCCCACATGGTGAGCTTTAATTGCATGAGATTCTGGTCCCCAGGCATTAGCAGGTAGAGTTCTCTTGCCCTTTCTGCAGTGCCTCATTCTGTGGATATCCCTGAGTGATAAGTTGTTCACAGTATTGTGCTGTTCCACTTGTCTTTGAACAGTTGTACATAGGGATAGTTTCATTTTTGTCCACCTTTCTGGAAGTACAATTGTTGCAGCAAAGGTCTGCAGTCTTTTCAATATGAAATCCCTGAGACAAAATCATTTATCCTTGGTTTTTCTTTTACCACTTCCAATACAATTTACCTTTATTCTTCTTGTAAGAATTGCTATAGAGTGCAGACTTCATGCTCACCCAGAACATTTACTGTCCCTGATAACTGGCAATTGAATATTTTACAGTGTTTAACACTGTATTTAACAATTAAATTCCATAATGGGAAACTCTAAATACAAGAGGTATGTGCCCATTCCAAATGATCTTTTATCTTCAATTGAAAATCTTAACATTTATGTGAGTAGTCAATGTGTTTAGATTTTCACATAAGGGAAAAGAGGTCCGCAGCTGGTTAAGGAAGAGTGCCTTCCTGCCTTCCACAACCACTTGCTGGTCTGCACACCTGCACATGGCCTTCTAAATTATCCCTTTCCTTCCTTTTTTTTTAAATGAGTATAGTTGCAAGGATTGGCTTAAATAATTTAAAAACCCCATCACACTGTTACTGGTTATTGTTTACTCTTATTCTGTTATCATCTTTCCTTTGTTTACAACTTTTCTCCCTTTGAAGGATCAAGAAGATGTTTTCTCCTTCACAAGTTTTCACTATTTCATCCAGCTAGAATAACCTCTAATGTCTTATAGCATTTTTCTAAATCTTTGTTGTCGTACTTGGAAGCTTCTGACTAGTGTTAAACATAAATAAACTCCTTCATACCACAGATTGTCTTTCTTAGAGACTTCAGGACATTGCATGCTCAACCAGTTAGAGCTGAGCTTTTCGAGCGAATTAATGTGTAAGATGACATTATCTAGCCAAGTTTGATTTTTCCTTTTCTTTTCTGCCACATATGTGTAGATGTTCTCCAGGTTCCACCTGTGACCTTTTTTCTACCTTGTAATTTCATCAGTTCTTTGGCGCTATCATTACTAAACAAATGGATTCACCAGTATTCCCATATTTAACCTTGGGTCTGATTCAACCTACCATAACTCAAATGCAATACTCCACAACTAAAGTTATCATTACATTATCTAGATCTGCATCTGACCTAGGGAAATGCTTTTGTGACTGTTTTTTTTGGTGCTAGGGATTGAACCCAGAGTTGATTATACACTGAACCACCTCACCAGCCCTTTTTACATTTTTTTTTCAGAGACAGGGTCTCACTAAGTTGCTGAGGCTCGTTTTGAGCTTGCAATCTGCCTGACTCAGCTTCCTAGGCTACTGGAATTACAGGTGTGTGCCACTGTGCCTAGCCTTGGACTAGTAGTTTTTGGTTTTGGAGTAAGTACATAAATGTTTGAAGAGTTTTTCATCTATATTTTTATCTTACTTTTAAGGTGATGTTACTCAGACCCTTTTGAAAGACTTGTCTGATCCGTTGCTGGCCCCATTGTTTCAATGTGGAAAAAAATCTCCCTTTGTGAAAATAATCTCTTCAGCAGAGGATGTGTCCTATAGAGGGAAGACTGTCTACTAGAGAGGGGAGACACAGGGCAAAACACCTGACATGCAGAGGGGTGTTTTGAGTATTAAATTGACAATGCCCTTTCCAAACATGTAAGGAGGACTTTCAAATGACAATCAGTATAAGAGTGAATCTTTACAGAAGATAAGAATGAGGTTTAACATTTAGGATACAGAGGAAGAGGTACAGCATCAGTACAGGGCAAAATAAAGTCTGAACTAGAAGGCAAGATAAATAATTATGTCATTTCTGAATTTAGGGAAAAAGGAGATTTTAAAAGTATCTGTTGTGTCTAGTTATGTGTGTGAGTGATAAAGTGCCTACCTCGCATGTGCAAAATCCTGAATTAAATCCCCAGTACTGCAAAAACAAAATGTTGGTTCACACTGTTAAGTACTGCATGGAGGTCAAGGAGTGTGAGGCCTAGAAGGCAGTCAAAATCACTTTTTAGTCTTAGAAGATGAAATTTATTTACCTTTGGAGTGAAAAGCAATCAGTTTAAGTTTAATTATAAGGAATTGGAAACTTTCTTAAAATGCTTTACTTCTCATAATACTTTTAATTGAATTAGTAATAAAATTTGGAGCCTGGACTTATCCTTTGACTTTTCTTCCCATTTACAATTCATATGTTTTGCTAATTGAAAATTCTAATATTGAGTAATATGTGACATTTGTCTGTTCAGAGATCCTGTTGCAAACCTCGGATGTGTTATGTATCTGTGATTCTTCTCAGCAGAACTTAATTGCAATAGACATGTTGCCATGAAGTGAAAAATGTGCTAATGCTCACCTGGAAAAGCTGTCTTTTAATGCAGTACATTCTCTTGTTCATACTGATTCTTCTCATTTTTATTGCATACTTTATATCACATCTCTTCATATTTTAAAAAAATTGTCACCTGGTTGGATTATCACTTGAGAACAACAAACTAGGAACTTTGAGACTAACTTGTTTAATTGCTATGAGGGCTATATAGTTAAGTAAAACAGTCCATAACGGACCTCATTTAATGCTATGTCAGTAGTCTAGGTTTCTTCTGTTGAAATTTTAATCAGGACAAGTTTATTTACATATATTTCCTATAATTCTGCCAGTCTTACCTCTAAGCTTTACGTGATATAAAACAAGTATTGCCTTTGAAAAAAGTAAAGACATCCACCCTTTTTGGTCTGGTGTCCAGCAACCTCTGTGCTACTCTTGATTTTGAAGTGTATCTCCTTCCTTTCCTTGCAGAAATACTCAGCAATAAGGCTTGCACAGGGCTTTGTGTGTGACAACTCTGCCTGTGGCTCTCCTGTTTCATTTCTGCACATCACCTGCAGGTTACTGTTTGTGAAAGTAGTGTTCTCTGAGACTCCTACATAAGATCTGTGCCTGTTATTGTTTGTTGGGTGCTGTGGGACTTATAACACTCATTTTCTCACAGCTTTAGTGTTCTTGCTTGTGAGATAGGAGTGACAGTGACTATGTCAAAGGACTGCTGGGAAAATAAGAGAGAGAATGCATGTGCAGGTCACTGCCTGTCTCCAGGCACAGGGTGAGCACTTCTATCAAACATCTTCCAGTCTTGGTGCAGGTCATATTCCTCCAGGGTATATTCTCTGTCCTTACCACCCCAGGCAAAATGAGGTCCTCCTTGCCCTTAATCCCCAGGCTTCCTGTGGGTCAGTGCTGCAGGAATTGTCCTAGTAAATTTTAGTCCTTTCTTGGGTTGTGGATCCTTTGTTCACATTCTGATAACCACATACATTTTAAACTATTCAAATTAATTATTTTTAAAAACTTCTAAGCACCAGATATTTCATACATGTAGGCATGCATGACATGACACCAAGTTAAACAATTATGAACATTTAAACAACTATAGTTTTTCCCACAGCCTGATGTTCTTTCAGCCCATTTTTCTTTCTCTGTTTCAGAGCTTATCCGACATTGGAGCTGCTCCTTCTCTTCCATGTTTTGTATATTCTAGTGCATATTCTCATTCCTGAGATTCTACACAATGGAATGCCATTTGGCTAAGTTTAAATGTATGCAAATATTTCTGTTCTTGGAGTGGTCACTCTCAAATATTTAGCACACATAATTGACTTTACAGAGTCTAACATTAACCAACATATCCTGAACTGAACCTACATCCTTTTCGTGGTGCCGTACATCTGTAATCCCAGTGACTGAGAAGGCTGAGCTAGGTTCAGAGTCAACGTGAACAGCATAGTGAGGCCATATCACAAAATAAAAAATTATAATGTAACAGTAAATCACAAGGGGGACTCATCT